ACAAACATAGGAAGTGTTTCAACCTATTGCACTTCAGCTTCAAAGTCGACATAAGTTGTTATAAGCGAGGCTAAGAAATGTTTGGTGTAAGCAGAGCTGTGCCGTATTGATTACTTTTGTAATTAGATTACCCCGAATTCTTAATTACAGGGTAATTGGAATTTAGAATTAAGATATGAGATTACAGTTGTAATTGGAATTAAGAAAACCAAATTCGTAATTACAAGGGATTGGAATTTGAAATTGAGCAAATAGATTACACTTGGAATTGGAATTGAAAAAACCAATTCCTATTTTCAGGTAATTTTCAAAAGTAGTTGAATTCTAAAGATTACTCTCCTATGCTTTTGCTGAACTATATTTATTTTATAACAAACAAATTCATAAATTTATGTGTGCAAGTATATATAATTTTGTTTCTGCTACATTGTGTGTGTGCTTTTTTTATTTAATGAAATTTATTATTTTTAATGAAATTTATTTACTTCCACCGTGTAAGTGCTGTGATTAGTGAACTCATCAATAAGTAGTCAACGGTCTCTGCTACAAAAAGTGATAAGAAAAATATGGGGTCTCAACTGTTTTCCATTAAACCAACAGTTTCTGCAGTCATCGCGATTTCGGTTTTAAGTGTTTCATTGAGATAGGATCCTACCTTCAATAGTTAGTTTTTAATAGATTTTAGCAAGTTGAGATATGATTGCGACATCGTATTATAACCGATTCCTATGAGTTCGACTGCTGTTTTGATCTTTGATATGCCGGAATGATCAAGAAACTAAAGAAAGGTTAGGTTAGAAAACAGTTTAACCTACGTTCTTGTTATCAAAAAATCACCAGTTAAGAGATCTCTACAATATATACCCAATCGAACCAATCGAAGTATCGAATGATACTAAATTTCAATTAAAAAATAAAAATAAATAATGATTTGATTATGATTTTGTTCTAATATAACACAGCAAATGAATTTGTTAATGAAATTTTTTAGAAAATTAACAAAACTTTAAGTTTAAACATACAAGTCAGGTGCAGCTTCGGATCAGGTGGTTAATGAGCAATGACTCTGTACTTGCAGTCTCAAAAAATTATTTACGAATAATCCAATATAAGAAATAATTATAAGACAATTGATGATGGGCATCTGGTAATACTGGAAATAGCTGTATGGTCAGACAAAAATTCAATTAATTAAAATAATAAAATAATTGTTGTTGTTGTAGTTCACTACTATTCGAAACCTTTTTAAAAAAAAGCCAAACTAACTAGGTAGACAAGCTTTTAGAGAAACTATAATAATAGTATTTTGAAAAACATTTTGTTAAGAAATATAATTGAATAATAATATTGAGGGTTGTATGATTAACAGTTTTTCAGGTTGACTTTTCCTTGCGTATTATTGAAACTAAATTCATACTCTTACATTTAATTAGAAAATCTCCAACAAGGATTTTAAATATTTATCTATATTCCTTAAATATATATTTTATAATTGGAAAATTCCGAAATACGTGTTGAAAAAAAAAATTAAATAAAACAAAATGAATGTCAAAGCGATATGTGGTATGTCGTTTTTAACTAATGACAGCACAAATTAAATAAATTAAAATTAGTCAATAAACTATCAGATTCCACAATTTATCCATTTGTGTATTTCCATTAGTCGATAAATGCCACGTAATTTGAATTTATATCATTTGTTGTCTGGATTTTAATGTTTGGGAAATGATGCTCCAGCCAAGTTTCTGTTTGGTTTTCTGATTGTATTGATTTTATGTTAAATATTCTATCTCATTTGCAGTCATCGAATTTGCTTATGTACAGGTAAGTGAATAAATGTTTAATTAGATAAATTAAGTGGAATTGTGTTTATTTGCAAAACAACCACAATTTAATTAATTTTAAAAAACAATTGCACTTTAAAATTTTATTGAGATGCCACTTAAGTGAATGATTATAAGTATTTCATTATAATGGCGAATAATATTGCTTTTGCTCATCACATAAAAATAATACTAAGATAAGCAATTAAATTTAAAATTATGTCGTATATAAATGGATAGAAAATTAATTAATTAAATTGCATTAAAAGCATATTGTATAATATACTAAGTATATAGCTCTATAAAATATATATTAGAATTTGAATAAGTCAACAATGATTTAATATCCTTTATCATGGGCATAGTCAAGGGAGACAAACTGAACTGAACTGTTGATAAACTGAAATGGTTGTATACCCTAAGTGCTTCGAGCGCGAAAAGCTTTTATTGGATTTGGTTCTCATCGTGAAACACCCATACAGTCGACTGTTTTTTACGTCCTAGTTCAAACGCATATATCCATGATTCGTCACCTGTTACAATTTTATATACGACTACGTCTTTTGAAACACTGCCACTACTCGTACTTCTTAAGCATTTGTTTGCACCAATCGATACCATCATCTTTTTGAGATTTTATCATGTCAAATAATGCGGCATCCTATGAGAACTAACCTTTCTCACCGCTCAATGATCGTTCAATATTTTTTATATGCTGGTGGAACTAATGCCTAATGCCTCAATCTCACAGTATGTCGTATGACAATCTTGCATATCAGTTTTTGTACAGCATCAATATTTTCTGGCACAACAACTGATTTTGGACGACCTTCACGAAATTTGAAATTTTGTCAGAGAGCCAACTGCGACCGCGATTAAAATCATTGTACCACAGTGGCAAAGAATCTAGCTTCATCGTCAAATATGGCGATGTGGAAGTAAGTTGAGCAATGTACTCTTGTCTTGATATTCCACGTCGAAAGTCGAAATAAATCATCGCATAAAAATTTTCTCGTGTAAATTCCATTTTTTGAACACTTAATTTACAAATCACTGTAAATTAATGTAAAACAAATAATGCTCTTTTGACAAAAAGTCTAAGGTTATGTTTAATAATGTCAAACTTTCGGATGGAAACGTCAGATGAGACCTGGCAACCAGTGCTGCCAAGGCTCAAAATATAAACAGTGACCCTAGTATTATTATTAACAATTATTAATTATTATTTTATAGAAATGTTTAATACTATGATTTCATTATTATTATTATTAACAAGTTCCTTTTCCAATGAAACTACGTTTTTGAAATAACTTTCACAGCACTTCTGATTTTATGATTTCATCATCAGTATCAAATATGTTCCTGAATTCAGTTTTGTCTTTCGAATTTCATATCCAAAATTTGACATGATTTGCATTTCGCGAGAAGTTGTGAGTATCATAACTGCATTTACACATTAATACGATTTAGTATTTGCTCTTGGGCTTACAACCTACGCACTACAGCGAAACCCTTTATCCATGGATGAGTATGAAGCTTATGTGGGTGGGCATCATTGAAAAATTCATCAGTTTTTGACGCGTGAATGTGTTGTGGTTAATGAAAACTGAAAAAGTTGAAATCAAATTGAAATTGATATTCTCTTCGAGGTCTTAAATCCACGCTTCCGACATTCACTGATATGAATTCGTATGAATATTAATTCCTAGTGCGAAAGGTTTGGTTTTTGTAAATAAATTCAAAATTTTCAAATCGAAATTGAAAAGTGGTTTGTTCTATCGTAAAAGAGTATTATAAATTAAGTAGGAGTTTAAATCTAAAAAGAAAGTTAGATTTAGATATTGGTATGAAATAATACTTTTCAATTTTATATTTTTTTTAGAAAATTATGTATATTTACTTATAATTTTAATTTTGTCAGTTATAGATAATTTTATTCTTTCATTTTTACATAAAAATTAATATAACGAGCTTCCATAACATTCATGTGTGTATATGTATATAGCATATATATATTTATACTAGCTGACCCGGCGAACGTTGTTTCCCCTTGCAATTAATTTTGCTGGCGTTCGTTGCCTTGCTCTTGACTTTCATTAGCACGTGTAATTGTATCCTGGTTTCTTACATCTTCATTGTTTTTTGCCGATCTATTTAACCGACGGTTCTGGAGTAATTGTGAATTCCGAGTCCGTCGACCAATATTTCCTCCTCGTCCACGAAGACGTGGCATTGTTTTTTGTACGATATTTATATCTTTATATATACAATTCTTCTTTTTTGTGTGTTGAATTTTTGAATTTCGCTGGATTTACCAGGAATACCACCACATAACTTAAGATTAAAAATTGGCTCACTTATAATTATGCTGCGGAATTTAAATGCACTTAAGCTATGCAAGGGCAGTTTTACAATTCATTTTAGAGATTTTAAAGTTTTTAAACAAATCAAAGTAAGCATGAATAAATTTTAAATTTTTAATATAAATGTATATGGATAGCAAAAAATAAAAAATTGATTGAAAAGACATTATCCAGTGGGCCAAATTGTGAATCTAAACCTTCCTTGAATCCACTTGAACACACACAAAAAATTTCATCAAAATCGGTTCAGCCGTTTAGGAGGAGTTCACTGTCAACACACGTACAGAAGAATTATATATATAAGATATTAAAAATGAATACTTTAATATGTAATATATTTTTTATACTACTACTATTATACTATACTACTATGCTAATATTATATTTACTATTATACTATTATTCATTGACCTATAAGTCGACGGACGACATTTTGTCATACTCGCTGTTTTGATTATATTTACTCATATATTTATTTAAGTTCCACTGAATATATTGTAAAAATGAAATTTTAAAATAAAAGTCAATTTACAT